AGAAGAGCCCCTAGAGAGTCTTGTTTTGGAACACTCTGACGCCTACACATTATTATCTCTGCTACGTTTTGCAGTTTTGTGTGAAATTTATTTTTAATCTTTAACAAAACATGCCCTGTTTATCTTAAATTCAGAAAAGGTTTAATAATGTAAAACAAAATAACTTTTAAAATAATTAGATTTACAATGAATGCCAAAACATGAAAGTGTAAAGCAAGTTAACAAGAAAGGGCTTCTTAAAGATCAAAGAAAATGTGTTTATTTGATTTGATTAAAAACAAAAAGTACTTTCACTTTAACAGGTTATAACTGGCTGTTGACAGAAACCAGTGAAAAAGCTTCCAAGTCCCACAGGGTAAAGGTTTTCTTCTGGTAGGGATTCACGTACTCAGAATAGATCGCCCACTGATATGTCAAAGGAATTATATGTTGAAAAGCAGCAAAGTTGCACCGATAATATAAAATGTGGTTACAAAGGCAAGTTTCCTTTGACAGCATACTCCTTCTGCTACTATTAAGTAGGGCTGATGGTGTAAATCAATGGCTATTTCTATCTCTCCTCCTTGATACACAAAAAAGTTCTGGGAATAGGAAAGGCAAAAAGTACAATTTAAGTTAGTGGAAAGGCAGGATATATTAGCTCACAAACTGCTTTAACATAGCAGTAGTTCCCAGAAGAGAGCTGGCTTCTGTAGAGCTCCTCTTCTATGAGCAGAGGAAACTGGTATGTGGCAGCTTTTGCCTCACCAGCCATGTGGTCCCTCTGTCACGGCAAGTTTTGAGTCCACTGAATCCTCTCCCCAAGGATTCAATGGGAAATGTACACACCTCTTTGAAATGATACCAGGCTGGCATCCAGGGGAAAAAAAAAAAAAAAGCAAAAAAAAAAAAGTGCTAAGTAAATGAAATAGGAATTTTCTTTAAGTCAGCCTGTCTTAAACTTTGTTTAATGAGGTTTGTTAATACCAGTTTAACTGCTAAAAGAGCACTTAAATCAGTATGTTGGGGTTTTTTTGTTGGGTTGTTTCTTAAGATTAAACACTTTCCTCATTTCTAAAAGATAAAAGAATCTATGATCTAAAGATCACTTGAAACCTCAGGGAAGTCTCCTAGCTAAACCAAAAAGACCAGACATGACATTCCAAAAATGCTGAGGTAAGAAACATCCACAAAATATTTAAAACATTCTTACATTTCAGACCTTCTCTACACAAAATGATGAAAAAGTCATTCTTAAAAAAGTAATAATTTGCAGGTTATCTTTGAAAGCAACATGTGAAATTCATCAGCCCAACTTTACGGAAGTAATTATTTTGGAGGAGCGGTAGTTATTTTCACACTAAACTTAACATAATCTGGAGTATGTCCACATACTTTTTTAAGAGAGTCCACATACAGGAATGGTCTCTTTAGCAATTACAGTCACTGCATCTCACTTTCTACCGTTACTATCCATCAGCCTGGAAGATGCCTTCAGACTATCCAGACCCACACACCAGCAACACTCCCTGGGAGGCACAGGGCCCTGTGTGCTCAGGCTGCTGTGCCTGGTGCAGTGTCTGTGGGCTCCTGTCTGCACTCAGGTGAGCCCAGTGCTGGGGGAAGTAGCCTTCAAATCATCTGCAGTACAGAAGGCAGACATTACCTACTGCTTCTGGGCAGTTGATGCATGCATTGCTCATCACTTGCTCTCATTTCTGATCAAAGGTTTGGTCAGTCTGACAGTTACTTGTGTAACTCCTATTACCTTGCAGTGGAGCTGCAGAGGAACGAGATACTACTCCAATCATCCACCACTGAGATGCTAACTGTAAGATCACTAAACCAAAGCTGGTTGTGAAAGAAATCAAGCCTTGCTCCAATTCAAAATACTTGGTAATTTGATGAGAAAATACGTGTGATTTATGTTTATGTCTGCAAGCTTTCCCTAGTGTGAAAGACTTTAAAGGAAAACCAGATCTTTTTTTTTGCAATGTATGTTCTTTTATGTTATGCAGCCTAGACTGTGGATTGCAGTGATGTCAAAAATGTACATGGAGTGATTGCATCCTGTCTGTGTCTTGCAGGAATGACTTTGAAAGTTAGATGTTTCATCTCTACAGTCATATCCTGATCAACAAAGTGACAAACCTAGCTTTTTCTGTAAGCTGCAGTTAAACAGGAACTTGATTTGTTTTTTTGTATTCACATCTATTCTATAATAATGAATTCAGCACCACAATATTTGAGTACCCATTATAGGATCAGAGAAACCTTTGTGGCACCCGTTTTCCTAAAAATTATTTTAAAACCCCAGTCCTCCATTCTCATTCTTTTGAAGCCTTTGCTTTAAGCCTAAGATCTGAATACAAAGGACCAGAACTTTGGTTGAGAATGTGTTGTTTTGTTTTTTTTTTTAAGTGGTGAACTGATTTTGCCCAAGAAAGAGGAAATCCAAGTATAAAGTGTATTGATTTTTCACTAACATTTTCCAAAGCTGAGTGTGCCATTACAACATACATAAAATTCCCACTTAAATATTGCTTTTTGTGGAAGATGTGGTGTTTAACTGCCACATATGAAATTTGTAGAACCAGGGCAATTTTGAGCAAAATCTTAAAGGGTTGAATGAGCTATACATCTCAGTAGAAATATCTCAGACAGATACACCAGACACATATCTGGAGCTATGCATAAAAATATGGGGAAAACTTTGTCGTGACTTTTGAGAAATCAAAGTTAAGTGCAAGCTAGTATGAATTCCATTATCATACTGTTACTGTGACTATCAATACCTGCCGCTAGCACAGCAGCTTTAATCCACCATTCTCAAAAGTCATTTCCGAAGATTAACCTGCAGCAGGCACACCCCTGTCAGTCACTGACAGAGAATCAGGGCCCCGAGGCCTGTCCAAGGTCCCTGGTAAAGCAGCGCACCCTTACACCTCCTCTTCAGACAGTGCTGCCCAGAGAGCAGCTCTATGGCTGACCCAGCGCCTGAGGCCATGTTTACCTCAGGAAGCATTGCTGACTTGTTTTGCTGCCTCAGGCTGTCAGCACTGTGACACTCCTGGGATCATCCAAGCTCTCTCTGCTTTCGCTTCCTGTAGCCCACTGGAGAGGACAGGTTTGACCACGAAGCACACCCTTCACCCAACATTGCAACACGGCCCCAGCCCACTGTGGGAAGCCATTGGCCAATTCAGCTCCAGGCAAGGTTGCACCTAAACAGCTGTTTTCTGCCGGCATGTGGGAACAGCGCGGTCAGTCCACGAGGCACAGCGCTGGAAGCGGGCACGCCATGGCCAAGGCGGGCACAGAGCGGGAGACACCCCTCGCACCTCACAGCACCTCACAGCACCTCACAACAGAGCGCCAGCACCACCAACGCCAACGCCAACGCCACCGCCACCGCCACCTGCCTCCACCCCTGCGAAACCCCGCCCCCACACAGCCACGCCGCTCCCGCCTTGCGTCTGACGCAGCGCGCCAGGGGCGGGACGGAAGTGAGGGGCTGAGGGGCGGAAGTGGCTGAGCGTGCGGTGCTAAGATGGTGAGTGCGGGTAGGGGTGGTGGCGCTGGTGCTGGGCGGGGGATGGCCGCGGGTTCGGGCAGATCGGCGCGCCCCTGCCTGTCCCCGCTTCGCTGCTCGGCCGTCGGGGTCCCCGTAGACGGCGGCCGTCGGTCGAGGGGCGCTGGGGCCGTGCTGAGTCATAGGGGTCCGGCGCGGCCATAGCGTGTTCTCGTGATGCCGGCCGGGCCCGCGGCTCTCACTGGGGAAGAGGTGCCTCTGCCCGCGCCGCCCGGTCTCCGCTGGGCAACTTCATGAGGCCGGGAAGGCGCCAAGGGTGGTGGCCGCGGTGAAAGCCCTTTATTTGGGAGCGGGGTGGACCGGAGAGGCAGAGAGCCCTGGTAATCCCCAGCCTTTAGGTGTCAGGGGCTTTAGCGCCGCAGCCAGCGCGGCACCTCTTGCTGCCGGGGAGGTCGTGCCTCGATCCCCTGTGGTGCACAGCAGTAGCGTGGCCACCTGACACGAACTAGGCACTGACAAGAGTGGAGGGCATTACTTTTAGGGAGTATTTAATGATTTTCTCCTTAAGTTTGGCTTTCACATCTTCCAGGTACTGTATCTCTGTAATGCTCTCACAGCAATCTTGGAAAGGCCTGGTTAGGGTTAAGTATATTAGTTTGCTGATGCTTAATGTGCATGTAATAACAGGTATCTTATGTTTTTTTAGTAGCTGTTAGGTTATCAACAGTTAAGATGTAAGTACAAAAGGCCTTGACTATAAGCATGAGATTTCTCTTGGATCTGTATGTGCTGCTAGAGGGAACTCCTGTGTTGAACAGCTCATCACTGTCACTTGCCAGCGGTTATTGCCATCATCTTTCAGAATTCATTGCACAGTGGTCTATTGGTGGAGCAATTTGTGTGAACAGTCCTAAAATCGCTTCAGTAAAATTGGGCAGATTAGTATGAACTTAGCCATCTTAGTTAAGATGGCTTTGCTTAGTCTGTGAAGGTGTCTTTTTTTCTGGTCTTCTACAAGTCACTGTTTTTCCTTTGCCCTTTCAGTTAAGTGCCGTACTAGACCACTCGGATATGCCTTGTCCTCTTTATAGCAGCCTTAAACCATAGCTAAAATCAATTTGATCCTTCTTGATTGTGTCCGTGTGAAGTGAGTGAATGAATGAATTCTCAGACTTTTCTGTCCTGTCAGCTGAGCATAACCTCCCTTTTACCATTCTAACCCTGCAGAGCAGGGTGGGAATGAACAAGGGGGAATTTTGAGCTTAACTGTTTCAGCCTGATCCTAAATTGTGTTATCAATATATTTAACTGTTATCAAACTTTCAGAAAGAATTCTGTTAGGTGGGGTTTGTGTTTTGTTTGTTTTAAAGAGACTCTAAAGTGCATAGGTAGTTGTACATGGGTAGTTAAGGAGTCTGAGCACTTTGTTTCATTTGCCTGGCCTGATGGCCCAAACAAAAGGGATCTGGTTCTGTTAAAATAATCCTCACTTTTTCTTTTGTTCCAGGATTCCAGAGGCGCTGCTTCTCTGTTGAAGGATACTATCCCAATTATTGACTTTTCGGCTTCAGGATCATTTGAAGGTTATGATCTTCTGCGTAGAGGGTATGCTTTGCTTTTTCTTGCTGAATCATAGATAGCCGATGTTGAGCTCTAGATACGTGGAGAAAGCATGTGTTAAATGTTGGCTTTTTAAAGAAGGTTCTTGGAAGGTGTGTCGGAAGAGCTATAGCCTGAAGTGCATGTATTTAATCAAATTGTCTTTCAAGCATGAATTTTCCATGAAACATCACTTCAAGAAGTGGATAACTTTATTGAACTTTTACCTGTGTGATACTGCTCTTTAGAAAAGAGATGTCAAAGTATTAATAATCATGAAATATATGCTAGTTTTAATATACATGTATATGAGTGCTGTACCTTAATTTCAGCACTGTATAAAAAGTAGAGTTAATATAGTAAAAACAGTGGGCTTGGGTTTTGTCATTTTACATTATTACAAAACTGTGTGTCTTGGATAATGAATCTAAAATAAGTTCATGGAGTTAAAAATGCGAGCAATACAGCTGTGAGTGTGTATGTGGGTATGTGCAGTATTCAGCTGTAAAAGCTTAGACTTCTGAAGTTAGATACCATAAAAAATCTATGATGATTTCATTTATTAATGCCCTTCTATATTTCTGAAGGGGGTCAAGGAAAAAGCCAGTCACTTGGTTTTGTTAAACATAAAGGAAAAAAGATGCCTGAAATGTAAATGGTTTTTCTTCTGGTAATGCTGTAGTTTGAGGTCTTATTTGCTGCTTCACTACTAAATTTTGTTGGTTTTTTTTTTTAATAGTTCAAACTGTGCTAATTGTGTGTCTCTAGGTTGATGTTTGTATCTGAGTTTAGTTTTGCAGTGTAACTTAAAACGATATCCCGGGTAATTTGAAGTTCAATTTTTTTTTTTTTTTATTTGCTTGTATATCTAGTTTTACAAATGTGAAAAGTGAATTGCTGCCCAGCCACCCGCTGGAGCTGATAGAAAAAAATGTAAGTATAGTATCAAATACAGCCATCTTTACTCTGAACTAATTATGAAGTTTAAATTAACAGTGTGATTACCTGGACTGCTGTGTGTGGTAACAGATCATGAGCAGGGTCTTGCTTTTACTCAAATAAAGATGTTCAACAATAGTATTTTATTTATATAAATAACATCACTGGCAAATGTGTTTAATGTTGACCTCCCACTTGTGACTTTCTCCACTTCAAGTATGTAAATGAGCTTCCAAATAGGGATTTACGTAATAACTTTTAGATGACTAAACGTTACTAAGCTAGTTTTGTATGCAGCCTCTGTAGTTAGGTGGGGGGGCATACCTGTCAGTTCTGGAAGGCTGATCCTCCCATTTCGTATGTAGATTTACCATGTATCTTCATTTTCAGACTTTCAGTCTGTGAACACACAAATATTTTCATTAAGTTACTCGATTCCATGTAGAAATTTTATACACACAGTTTGTCTTAAGTATATGCAGTCTTGTCTGGCTTAGTCATCACTTGTGGACCGCTTAAGAGTGGACTGTGAACCATAGGTTGAAGGTAAGGGCAGACTAGACTGACTGTCTTGTCTAAATCTGATTGAACTGAAGCTCATCTCTGGTGCCTGTTTTGTCAGCACAGAAGAGTTGATGGAATAAAATGTCCTGAAGTAAAGGCAATATTTGGATAGAATGTTGCAAATTGCTTCATGAGGTCCAGTGTAGTGTCTAAGATATTGTAATTCTAACCAGTGCTAGTGTTGTCTGGAGTTAAAGGGTGATGTTAATGTGACGCCAACTTCACAAGCATATTTATGAATCCTATAAATGTTTCAGAGCTATTTGTTAACTGCTTTTTATAGCTGTCTGCTCTAACTTAGTTTTCAACTCTGTTCTTGCCATATGAAAACCTGCATAATTAAAAGATTACATGCTAGAGAGGAAGAAAGGACAGAAATAGATAAAACAATGAAAAATAATTGCAACGCACAGGAACTATGTGAGACTCAAATTGCTTTTGCCACATACTGTTTGGTTTGTTTTTCTGTAAGGCAAATTTATCCAAAAATTATTTTTTTTAATACATCGGAATGGGAAAAGACTTGACTTGAGGTAGTAAACGGTTATTCTTAACAGCCATAAATAGTAGGTTATTCATGTAGCAGTAGTAGAAACCAAGTATTTGTTATCCAGATAAAGACCCCTACTTTTATAAAATAAAAGAAATGAAAAAGTAATGTGACCAGAATTGCAAGTTTAGGATGAGATGTAGAAATAGTATTTTCTGGTAACTTTTGAAGAGCGTTCAGTATGTTATGAAGAACATGTGTATTATGCCTGTGACTTCTCTTTTCCTGTTTTTAAGATACCTTCACGTAAACTAGATGACACACTTGTACTAGTAGGATTTTGTCATGATGATTGAGTACAGGTTTTAAAATAAGAAGCTTGTGGGTTTTGTTTTCCTTTACAGTATTTTATTTTGTCAGCATCTCAGCCATGTAGTAGCTACTGTAGAAGCCAAATTTGAGACTGGGGACTCAAGCTTAAGTTTAACCTTAAGTATAAGTTCCTTTTGTGTCCTTCAGGATTCATGAGCCAGCACTTTTTCATTAAAAGAACCCTCTGCTAAATAGATTTTCTTTATTTTACCAATCTGTTTTAGAGCAGTTGTAAAAATTATGAGCTTGCTTTAACTTTTCAGAGTCACACGAGTATATGTGGTGCTCTGTTTCCCTACTTGATCAGAAAAGTGTTTTCAAGTACAGTTTTCTGTGGCTAGCAATAATGTCAATTGTGGGTTTCAAGTTTGTGTTCTTCCTTTCAACCAGACTTAGCTTCCAGCTGCCAATATTGTAGTAAAGCAGTGCAAAACTACACCACTTGGTGGTGTTATATGTCCTGCTTGTCTAAAATAAAAAAAAAAATGCAGCTATTGATTTGTAATAAAATCCAGCAAAAATTCATTTTTGCTTCATAAAACAAATACTACCATATTACTGCCTTCTGTATACATTTGAGACACATAACAGTATGATGGAATTTTTACATAAAACCTTAATGAGCATGTTAATTTAAGTAGGATGTCGCAAATCTCTTCCATGGCTGTACTTGAAAGTAACTTTTTCTAAAATCAGTGTTGTTTATGATAGTTCCAGTTAAATCAAGATAAAACAAACTTTGCGACGCTGAGAAATATTCAAGGACTCCATGCACCTTTAAAGCTGCAGATGGAATTCAGAGCAGTGAAACAGGTAGGCATTTTAATCCTACTTGTGTTACTTAAGCCCCTTGTTTATCTCACAACATGCTTTCGGAGGGATATCTTTCTTTGTTGAAATACCTTATGTTTCCAAATGAAATTATTTTCATTGTACCACTTTACTAAAACAAGCTAAGCAAACTTTGCAATCAGTAGTCCCCAGAACAGCCAGTATGCTAAAAATCTTCAGCTGCTGTTTTAAATTTTACTTGGTGAAGTGCTCTAGCTCTTCTGTTGACTAGCTTCCTGTAAGGCTTCAAAGAAAAGTAGGAATAATTGGTATTGATTCCTAAAATTAATACTGTCCTCCGTGGAAGGGGGAATCTCTGCATGTATAGGGAAAAGAGATTTAGAGATCTGAAACAAGCAGTGGTTTGGGAGTAGATACAGAGGTAACATGAAAACTGAAGCAGTGCTTATTTTGTTCTGCAGCCTTTTTGTAGATCAGGGGAAGTCTATGGGAGTTAAGTTCAAAGGTTTTAACTCTTAGTTGGGAAGTTGTGTCTGTCTCCTTTTCCTTCCTATCTCCTAGGATGGAGACAGGAGGCTGACTTTGTCTCTTAGGAAACATAGAAAGCTCACTAGTCCTAGCTTTATTGGCTTTTTGAAGGTTGTCAAACTATTAAGAGTTGTTTTTCCAAATGAGTTAGAGCAATTCTGTACTCCCTTCCAGTGGGTCAGGTACTACTGAACCACAGTGAGCTGCATTAAACTTGGCAGGAATTAGTGGTCCTGAAGATCTGAAAGTCAGACAGGACGTATGAAGACATTCTGTGATTTCAGCTGTGCTTTCTCATATCTTAGGTTAGCACGTGTCAGAAAATGAGGCAGGCGAGGGTAGCCTGCTAATTTGTCTCAGGTATTCTTGGGGGTAAATGGAGGAAACATGTTCTCTTGTGCTTTAAATTCACTTTCATAAAATATTTACTGGAATAGTGTGTTTCAACTTCTAACAATTGTACCAGTAGTGCTATGGAAATCTTCAACCTATTTTTTGTGTTAAGAGATAGCTACATGATAGTTTTATGATAACAATACATGTACGTGATATAACTGAAGTTACCACTATTAGTAGTAAATGAAATTGTAAGTGCAGATATGCCATTCTCAGAATATTTAGGATCTGAATGCTATGTGTACCACTCAATTTTTTTTGTAATACTGTGGCTGAAGGGTATAGAAGAGGTTTGAAGAAACTGGCTGTGGACTGGAAACTTAAAAATTGGTGGGGATAGGGCAAATAATTATGGTTTAGATTAACTGCAAGGAGGATTATGTTTAGATGTGAAAATACATACAGCTTTTCCACTGACATTCCCGACTTGTGTCAGAGATGTAGGAAACTTGGAACGTGGTTTTCAAACACTGCAGTATATGTCAGTTGCCCAATACCGACCTCAAGGTGTAGATGTGTTTGTTGCCATGATCCTCCCCAGCTTTATGTGGTAACAGAGGAGGACAAAACCCCTCTTTTTTTTATCTTTATGCTATTTGCTGTAGTAGCTACGTGGCAGTGAAAGCCACAAATCTAGTGAAAGGTTGATCTTCTTAAAATGATAGATGGTGGTGTTCTAGGTTTTGCTATCTGTGTGTGCCAATAGTTCTCTTATTTCATTGTTGCATTTGAAGGAAGAAGGGACTTTGTTGATTTTTCTCAGTCTCTTCAGTCTGAGAAATCCAAATGTAAACTCGCCTCAATTTCAGACTTAAAAAATATTAACTCTTTTCTTTTTACAGGTCCAGCGCCTCCCCTTTCTTCACAGCTCAAACTTAGCACTGGATACTCTGAGGGGAAATGATGGATCCATCAGTTTTGAAGATATCCTTAATGGTAAATATATTGTTTCGAATGTTATGGAAACATTCACAGTTCCCAAATTTTACTTTTGAAGTTCTTTGCCTCTATGGAATAAGAGAATTAAACACAAAATGGAAAAAAATTGAGCTCCTAAAGGTGAGGAAGCACTGGGGGAAGGAGAAATAAATGTTATTCAGCTGCTAGTTTTGTGGAAATGTCTCTGAAATAGTGAGTAAGCCAGGATTTGCTTGTAGGCTAGGTTTCTAAAGGAGTAGAAGATTATGCACTAATATTATACGCCTGTTTCCCCTTAAACTTTTGAGCTACTTGTGCAGACTTTGACAGGTGGAGGTTACAAAGATACAAAGTTTTTATAAGTTCTGTAATTAAAGAAAAGCTAGAGGAGAGATCCTGAACTAATGAACCAGAGATGTGGTGGGGGTATTCTCCCTGAAATGAACTGAGCAGTTGGCAGTTGTAGGATGGGCGCCTGTTGGCTGACGGTTGGTATGTGTGGAATAGAATAAACCTGGAAAAATAGTTTAAAAAAATTATTTCTTTAGAGCTGGTAGCTAAGGGCATGGAAGGAGGCAGAGGGTGTACTGAGGTGGGATTAGGGAGTTAAAAAGCCAGGGAGATAGGAAACTGGAAATAACGGAGTGATAAATGAGAATCTGGAGGCATGAGGTAAACCTGGGATTATTTTCTGGAATGGATTTACAGGGGCCAAGGGAAGGAATTGTAGATTATTGTGATAGAGCAGTGTCAGGAGTAATTTATAGGAATTTGGTTATTTACCATTCATTGCTCACAACAAGCTGTCACATATTAAGTTCTAAGGAGTGAGTGAGTTAAAAGTGGTATTGATAAGGTTCTATTTATTATCTGGGGCTGGATTAGGTAATTTTGGTGTGTCTGGAGTAATCTGAGGCATTAATATGCTTTATGTGTGGAAGGAAAACAAGTCAATACACCCATAAGGAGAGGTATATTTCTTCCAAAGTGCAGTCACAACCTTTTAATTGTGGGTTTCTCTTCATTTGGTGGTGGCATTTTTTGTGTGTTTTGTTTGTGGGTTGGTTTATTATTAGTAGCAGTATTTTAATTTTTTTGTATGGTAACGCAGTTCAGACTGTCAGTATTGGTATCTTTTGTGTCCTCTGCACACTTCTTGATAACCTTGGTGTACAGTGGCTAATGTCAACCATATTTTACAGAATGAAGGAAATCTTGGAGATATTTAAGGACACAATTTCTGTGAAACTAGGCAGTTAGATGGAGAAGAGAAACCATGAGTATGTCCCAACTAATAGAAGGGAGGGGTGTGAGCTCCTGTTGTGCAGAGAAGTGGCACTGGAAAAAGATGTGGACACCTGTGGGGAAAAGCTTCACCTAGACTTGAATTTTCTTACACACAAAACTCAACTTTGAGATTCAGGCTATGGGAGACTGTGCTGTTATAGAACTGGTTGGTTTTACTTGAAATGTGTGTGTGTGTGTCTTTAGGAAACACTGTTCTACTATAGATGTAATTGTTATCTGATCATTGCTTTCCATACAGACCTGTGAGTTACAGACCTGTGTTGTACAACACTTAAAAAATCAGTAACTTGCGCTAAGCTTTAAAGTGGAGGGGAAATAAGGTCATGTTAATAGTTACTGTTGGTCTTTGTAACTTTGTAAAAGCCTCATTCTTTCAACTTTTTTTTTTTTCCAGATCCTTCACAGAGTGAGGTTATGGGAGAACCGCACATGATGATGGAATATAAGCTTGGTTTATTGTAACAAAATGTACTCCACCAAAATGTTTTGTGTGTGTCTATATACTGCAAATCTAAATACATGGTACCCTAAACACACTGACGCTCACAGTGTTAAGTAGTCCTACAGTTATTATTTGCCTTCCTTGATGAAAAGGCACATTAAATGTTTAAATTCTACAAACTGTTCTGTGCTTGTTGTCACTTATATAAATGTCCTGTAATTAGGTAGTTTAAATAATATGTTTTCATACACTGCTCAGGACAATAGCTTCATAACTATGGAAATGCTATATATGCATACAAGAAATCCAAAAATAACCATGCATTTTAAAACTGATTACCATAGGTAAATGCATTTAACAGATCTTCTTGCAGAAGAACTTCGTAAGGAGGAGGTGTTTTCCATTAAGTTAACTCTTTGTTCATGACAATTTCCGTACACTTTTTAAACTATTGAATAAAAGTTTGCTATAAATACTTTTGCGTTCCAAAATATATTTCATCATAAGTCCTGCTATGTACACTTTATCCCTTCCCTGTTGACAGTTTTGCGTGCCTGAGTCATTAAGCTTTTGTGTGGAACTGGAAGTTACCACTGTAAAAAGGGAGCTAAAGGTCTGGAATTTTTTTTTATCTGTGTCCCTGAGGGAGGATGTTCTGGTTTCTGAAAGTAGAAGCAAGCGCTCTTGGAGTTTAAAGAAGGTGCTTTAAAATCCATTTGGGAATGTGATACCAAAGAGCACTCTTAGACATGGTATTTTAGTATTTGGAGGTTAAGGAGGAGCACAGTGCCTAAGTATGACAGTACCTGATAAAGCTGCTACAGTGAGAAAATGAAGATGCAGTGGTAGTAGATGACAGATACAGAAACCCACCTTTTTTTGTGGGTTTACCAAAATTGGATCTTAAGTAAGCCAGTGAGACCTGTACTTACATACAGCTTTTAAAGGAGCAGGCCACTGAAAGGGGTTTGTGTGCTTAATTTGAGGGGGTCATGTGTAATTATATTTGGGATTGGAATCACTTTCCTGATGTCGTACATGTGTATATGTCATAAATCCTGTGAGGCAGCTAATGTGATGTGGCATATCAGGAATCAAAAAAAAAAGTTGGTTCAAAAGGTGTCATCTCTTGTCATATGTGGGGAGCTTTAAACAATATTTTAAAGACAGGAACTGTCTATTCACTAGGCTTTAATGACTTGGTTAAACTGCCAAGTGCACTTAGTGTTCTGTTGCAGGTAATTTTAGCAGAAATATTGCTATAAACCTCTTTTCACAATCCCGAACATCTCGTGCATAAAGCTGCCACAAATTCCCTATCCTTGTGGGCCAGCCTCTCATTTTTTCCTGTAAATTTTACAATGCTTTTATGTTCATCTGTTGCCAAACATTGCAGCAAATTAAAAACACTGAGATGACACAGTATGAGACACATTACCAGTGGTTTTATATTTAGACTTGTTTCATGTAAGAAGTGAAGCTTCTAAAATTATTTCACTTGAGAGTTGCAGAAATTAGAGGCTTGTGCTATGAAATACAAGTTACTTCATTTGTATTTTTTTCCCTATTGAGGTTAAATATAGGACCAATAAACTGAATGTGGAAGTGTGGAACTACTGGCTATGATATTTTATAATTGACAAGTTTCTTGGCAGTTTTGTATAAAGCAAAAGTGAACTCTTACAAAGCAAGCTTGAGGTTCAGTAGGCTTTGTGTTGCTATAGGCTCACAGAAAAGCTGAGGGATTACCTTGCTGCCTCTGGGATAAATTAAGATACGGGCATGGATTTTAGGATGATTTTTAGGTCTGCCTTGCTGTCAGCATTGTTACAGCTGATACAGAAAACAGGGAGCCATCCCAAAGTTGTACAGTTACTGGTATCTTGTAGCTCCCTGCTTCAGTGTGTCCAGCTAACTGGCCTTTCCTGGTGTTGGTTAAAAGATGAATACTATTGTATCTGAGCAAAACTACATTAAGATAAATAATTTAACTAGAGTTTCTCACAGATTACGAGGTTGGATGTAATTTCTAGGTAGTTTTGTTTGTTATAATCTTGGATGAGATCAAGCCAAATTCAGAGCAAGGAGGTTATGTTGTCCATTATATCTGCATAGAAGCTGATTTTAGTGATAAGCAAGGCTGGAAAGCAAATGGTATGTATAAGAGACATCCAAGAGCAAAGGGCATGCGAGGGAAGCATTTGCAGATCCACTGGCCATGCAGATGCAACGCAAGTCTCCATGCTGACTTCTTGCGCAAGCAGTGCTCTCCCTGCTCTGCAAATCCCCACCTCTTTTCGGTGCTGGTGTTTTGGAAAGTATCCTTCCTTCAAAGTGCAGGAGGAAGGCAGAAGCACATCTTCCTGCACTGCTGTCATGATCCTAGAACACCAGGTTGGAAAGGACCTCAATGATCATCTGCTTCAACCTTTCTAGACAAAGCATGACCTAGACTAAATGGCCCAGCACCCTGCCCAGCTGAATCTTAAAAGCATCCAACGCTGGGGAATCCAACACTTCCCCAGGGAGGTTACTCCAATGTCTGAGTGCTCTCGTTGTGGAAAATTTTCCTAGATGATACCATGGTGCTGATACTTCTGTTTATGTAAACATTCCTCCACCAGCCATCCCATTGGCCATTTGTCAAAAACTAAGCAAGAACTACAAATACAACAGAAGTGTTAGAAAAACAAATTTAATTATTAATGTCAAAATAATTTGCATTTATATACAAATAGAACAACTATTATAAACTTGGAAGATTTTAATAATCTGAAGTGCATTAGTACCTGGTTTCTTCAGCTTGCACCATGCTAGGTGCTTTAACAACACAGTTCATGTCCTTCATGTGTTTTGAGCTAAACTTACAGCTAGTTCTTAATACTGCACCTACCAGAAATGCTTTGCAAATAGCAAGTACTTTGTACACCAAAATCAAACCATAATAAAGCCATTCCTGAAGTGTACGTGCTTGTTCTCATTTGCACCAATACAATGCCACTGCAGAACTGGTGTGCTTTGTTGCCACCTTCTGAATGCTAGCAGAGGTGTGCACTGCAGAAGAGGAAGTGAAGGCACACACCCCTACTTCATTAGCTTTACTTTTTCAGGCAGTTTTGTGAGAAATAGTTAATTTCATAAAGCCTTAGAGAACTGCATAATGAAGAGGCAAGGAAGACAATGTAATCTTTGTGCTAGTGTTCTCTTAATCTCTCAACAAGCACTCATTATATTTTGGACCCACTGATTATTGTAAAACAGCTCCCTTCTCCAACAAGTTGGCAGCAACTTGGGCAGCTCAAGGGAGGAGAGATACGCAGTTTTATTTACTGGCTGATGTCTAAACTTTAATAGCCAACATCAGCCTTGGTAGTTCAAAAAGTGTAAGAGTTGGCTATAGCTGTTAGCTGTGTAAATGTTCATTCCCCTGCCCTGGATAAACAGCACTGTTTTCATCAGTGGGAGGCAGTGGTCTCCTGCATTATTTGGAATCATAGAATCATAGAATAGTTAGGGTTGGAAAGGACCTTAAGATCATCTAGTTCCAACCCCCCATCCCATTTAAACCCTCTACCTTATTGACCTTCTCCATGATCACAATACATAGCTTGGAAAAAAATGCTATCAATCAAACAGGATGTACAATAGTATCATCATGAGGTGGTACTGGTATTTTTTGGTGGTGTACCACTGAGAAGTTCTGCAGAAGTACTCTGTTTGTATGATGGATATTAATAGCTGTAAGCAGATCATTGATTATACAGCATATGCGATGTCTGTCTTCATTTTTAATGCTACACTTTGTGCGTCTGTAGGCAGTTCACACATCATAGTTGCTTTCCTAGAGTTTTCCTTGTGTGAATATCAACCACTTTACATCATTTTGACTTCTCTACCTAATCTGTTTTGGGGGATGAGAGTCTTACACAACTCACTTGTGCTTTCAGGGATCTGAGCAGTATTGGCTGTCAAACTGTCACATTAAAAAACACATGGCAGTGGTCCTTAACATGGTGTTTTATTTACACTTCTGCTCTATGTTCCAGAAGCTAATACTCTGGATAATTTCTACTTAAAGATCTCAAGCAAAAAGGTGAAGAGTCAATGCAGAAACCAGTTCCTAGGTTTGGCAGCCTTACCAGTTTGCAGTGTGGCCCTGGGCAAGTCACTTGTCCTCTCTTAATTTCTCTTTCTCTGTAACAGGGAGGATAATATCTATTGTGGAAGGAGATTCTTAATAGCATTTATAAAGTGCTTTGAAGACGAAATGCTGTTGAAGTGCTCATAAATTATGCTGCATTCATTGCAAGATGATTAGATGTACGATTCAGATTTGGTCACCTCATTTCAGGGTTGTTAAAAAAATAATAAAGACCTACTGCAAAGAAATGCTACTACACGTTTTCACTAGAAGAAACATTTAACCAAGTGGAGCCAATTAACTAGAAAACAAGAAGTATCTATGGGACAAAAAAATAGGTCTCTGGATCCAGACCCTAATAAATAGAAAACTATAAAAATAGACGTGCAATATGGCCTCTGCAAAGTGTAGGCATGGGCCTAACTTCACACTTTGCAAGCTGAAATAAGTACGACATCTCTGTGTGAAAATCCATTTTAAGAACTAAGTCAAGTCACAGGCAAGGTCCCCACATCATACATTAAACTTGCACAGACACTCTGCTAACTGCAGAGCAGTGAGTCTACTTACAGCATGTGCAAGTACTGCCTCCAGCTGGGTTGCTTTCTGAAAACAAATGCCGTTTAGTTGAGTCATTTTAGATAGGTTTGGGGGCTTCACCATTAAAACAGGCCTATTAAGATGTACACAGTGGACCGCACCCTCAGCTGGCATGACCTCCGGTGGCTGCAGCAGAATTGCCATCACCTTATGAATTTTCCACAGAATCAACCAGCTTGGAAAAGACCTTTAAAATCATCAAGTCCAACCTTTACCCCAGGACTGCTGTATCACCAGGGGCCTCATCTGCCTGTTTTTTGAGCACTTCCAGGGACAGTGATTCCACCATATTCCTGGGCAGCCTGTTCCATACCTGATCACTTTCTTAGTGAAGAAATTTTTCCTAATATCCAATCTAAACTTCCTCTGGCACAGCTTGAGGCTGTTACCTCTTGTCCTGTCACTTGTTGCTTGGGAAAAGAGATCAGCCACCTCCTCTCTCCATCCTTACTTTCATGTAGTTGTAGGGAGTTGATAAGCTTATCTCTGTCACCCCACTTAAAATGACACAAGATGTATCAGAATCCACAGCTGACATTCTCAAACTTGAGGAAGTGTAAGTAAGTGCAAAGAGTATCACCCTACCTTATTTTTTTTTTTAATTCAAGTTGAAAGCAGCATTAAAATCTCCATTGCCAGCCTATTTGCCTAGTTAAGTATGAGAGCTAGCTTTATTAAAGTGCTAAAACGAGACTGGATATAGAGTGCTACCTATTTAGTGCTTATTGCTGCAGGGCCACTTTGAGATTGCATCTGCAACTGTTGTGTTCTCTCTGTGGTCTCTGTATGACATAATGGTCTCTGCCACTGCATGTCAGAATAGAAAACCCAAGTAGATGAATCCTTTGTTCAACTATCAATGCTTTCTATGCTGGAAACTTCTTCAGATACAAGCAGAGCCAAGTCCTCCTCATTCCAGCTTGTGCACAGAAGCCAGCTGTAAGACACAGATAAGACATATATCTTTAGCTGAGATAGTTAAAGGTAGCATGCTGATTCAGCACCAACAAACACACTTGATAGCTCTGTTATGGCCATCTTCTGTGGCACAAAGCTTTTGAGGTATCCTAGTAAGCAAAAGCAATGACAGTGCTTGCCCCTATTATACCAGTTAGACAATATCATTACTGCTGTCTTTGATAAGCACTAAATGACTGATATATTAGACTGGAACAACTACTCTTTCAGGTCTCAAACAGTAACATTGCACTACAGTATCGAAAGAAAGATTTTAGAGAGAGGTTACTGAAAGCATAGACTATCTGAAACATTAATGGCAGAAAGAAATGAAAAATAACTTTAAAGAATTCATAGTGATGATGAATGCAGTCCTGATTGCAGGATGGACTAACTGATGGTAAATACCTGTTACATTCTGCACAGAAGAGAGTGCTTTCTTAATTTGCTCTACCATACAGCACTCAACTAAACCCTCTGTTAATATAACTGAAATCCTCATTTTTTTATTACTCTACTGAAAATTATTCTCCACACACACAAGAATCCCTTGGGTCTGAGACCCATCACTACCTCAGTCTTAAGTCACCATTAGTACAAATTAGAATCATAGAATGGTTTAGGTTGGAAAAGGCCTTTAAATGGAGTGGTCCAAAACTGAACATGGGATTCGAGGTACAGCCTCACCAGTGTTGAGTACAGGGGTACAGTCACTTCCCTGGTCCTGCTGGCCACACTATTTCTGATACAAGCCAGGGCGCTCCTGGCCTTCCTGGCCACCATGGGTACACTGACACCTTCTCTGAATAGACTGTGTAAAACAATGCAGTGAGACAGGCACAGACTTGAAATTATGTGAAATGTTCTAAATCTGCAGCATTATCATTGCCTATTTAAAACTTAAAATGCAGCTGATGTAAAGATAAAGCTGATTGAGGTAAAGCCTAAACATTATGAAAAAAGATGAAAGCAAGGGTATCACCCTCTTGAGAAAAACAGCTTTCCTTTCCTGAGTATAAAACTATCTAATGAAAAGTGATCCTCCTGTCATTTAGATCTGTATTCTAGCATCCTGAAAAGACATAATTTATACTGGATATAATTTAAAGTGAACTTCATTATTGTGAATACTCATGAATAATGATATTTCACTGTCAGTATTACTAGATGGTTATTAGGTATGACTAGATGCAAAAACTAGAGGCATGTTTATTAAACATGTCTAGAGGTTTATTCATATGAGCCCTTACATTAAAATCTGTAACAAGATCTGCATTAACAGCACTGGGTCACAAGGTACCCATAACCAAGGATCAGGACAGATAGCTTTCCATTAAATTCACTGCATTATTGGTGATGTTTATAACTCTCATTAACACCTAGAATAGCTCAGATTGCAAAATTCTACTCATGCCTTTCAAGTGATCTGTTATCTTTGTTCTCCATGAAAGGGTTTCCTTTAAGAAAGACCATGTAAAGATCTCAAACCAAGGGACACATACAACATGCAGTCAAGGGCACAGCATAGTATTAATAGTACATTCAGGGTAGATTTCTGTTTGGGGGAATTAGGTTGCAAGTTCACGACATAGTAGATGGATCAGGACCAGAATGGAACTGGTGATGGGAATCTCCAGCAGAGGTGTAGGTGTTGAAAGAAAAAGAGTGAAACTAGAGCACACTAGCAAATACTGAAGTTTGAGAACTGCTGCACTAAATCATTGAGCTTCAAGACATGTCAAAATGGAAATTACTGTCAAAAGCAGTCAGAAGCACCCTCTTGATCCATACTTACCATAGGGCAGCCAGTGGAATTAGGCAAAGGCCTGCTGACAGGAGGAAGCTAAAGCCTGAAAACCATGCAACAGTAGCTGCATAGAGAATATTAAAAACTGAAAGTGAAATAGTGCCGACCACAACTTCTAAACAGGCAATGCAAGCAAACACAGCACCTGCCAAAAACAAATGGATGAATTACAAACAATATAAAGCCAACCCCCCTTCAAAGTACTGAAGTTTCAAAACTTATTTTGAAAGATCTAGCTGCAGTATTTTAGCTGGTATGCAAGTATCAAGCACTGAAGTATCATATGTCTTCACTACCTTCTGTGGGGACTCCTATAAAAAACTTGTTTTTTGAATAATAAAAACCCCAACCAAGCAAACAAAAAAACTCCAAAACCAAAAAAAACCAATTTCCCTGATCAAAACAATTTTTCTTTGCCACTATTATGTCACCTTACTTACTCTTTTGAATCTGCTTATTACATGAAGTTTAAACTGCTCACCTCAGCTAACCATGTTCTACACATTTAATCCCTTACCTTTTCCCATTCTCCTCTCAATTTTCACGCTTTCCTGTTTCTTCCTTCTCTAATCTTTACTCTTAGAATCATAGACTCATAGAATAGTTAGGGTTGGAAAGGACCTTAAGATCATCAAGTTCCAACCCCCCTGCCATGGGCAGGGACACCTCATACTAAACCGTACATGTGGAAAAGGCTCTGATGCAACAAAGACTGCTGGTTCAGCACATAACCATCTCCACAGTTTTGAAAAGAAAGAAACAACATTTTTTTGCACTGAACTAACCATTGGAGTGGCAATCTATCCCATCAGTGTCTTCTCAAAACACATTTTCCCAAGATGCATTCATATTCATGGGACCATAAACAAAATCACAATAGGTAAGCAGAAAAAGATGACCAGAGGCAACCTGATTCCTGCATCAAACTACTCAAAGTACCTAAATCCCTGAAGAATGCCAAGAAACTGCAAACCAGAGGTGTATGTTAGCATAGTTAAGTACAAAGAGATCTTTGTTTTAGTGTTTAAAGATAGGTCTTTTAAAAAATAAAACCAAACAAATTAGGAGAATGCTTCTAGAATGTTTATGCTCTTCAAAAGTGAAATATGGTATATTAGAGCCACACTTTAAGGCCTAACATGCTTTTTTTCTGTGTTTCATAAGGAAATGACTTTGATAAGTAATATGTTACATCTTTTAGGGCATGTGAGGGCACCAGTGAAGCCAGGTACATAGCTCAGGATCCAAATCTAATTGTTTTCAAGTGCTTTGAAGGTTGACCACCTACTGCTTACCTTTCTAAATTGTTAAGTGTGACATTGACTGAATAACAGAAATATCTTCCCCCCACATGCCAAATCTTGTGAATATAAAAGCACTTGTAAAATCACAGCAGTATAAATCTTGAGTACTCCTCTGCTTCAAGTTCCTCATGGTCTTTATTTTTAAAGCAGTATCTCCTTTGAAGGTTGAAATTTGCAGTAGTTTAAGAACATGTTGTTTATATTAAATCCAGAATCAAAACCCATGAATATCATGACACAGGGTCATATTATATGGAACTTGAAAGAAAAGCAGTCTTAAAATGCCAATATATATTTGTTTGTTTAAAGGTAATCTTAGTGCATCTCTGTTCTGAAATAGCATATTATTATATTGTTTAAAACCAAATTCTACTCACCCTGTTCACCAGTGAGAACCACTTTTGACAGCATGGCTCGGAGAACAGGAATAGGCATAAAGCAGAGCAAAGATGGTACTCTTACTGTAAGACAATGAATCAGTCATAAGATATTGAAGTAAAAAAACCTATGGTATTTTACCAATACACTGCAAATGAATGTCATATACTTCTGAATGCTCAGTTCCCCATATAGCAAAAGGCAATAGAAAAGTCAAAAAGTGCACTGAGACACAATTATCCAAGTGCAGAGAAATCAGTAAATCTAATATATCCATATGAACTTAAACCAAATCATAAGCAAGTAATTCCATTCTCTCTCCACACATTTAGTATTTTAATTATATCCTAAATGAGTCTGCCCAACCTTGTATATTTTACCTCTCTATGACCTTTCAAGTTGGTAAGTCCAATATCTACCAGTTTGCACTCACTATAGATAACATAGAAGTATTTTCATGTAAGCTGTTGACCATGAAATAACTGATTCCAAACTCACCTAAAAACATGAGCAGGGTAGTTCTGGCAAAAGCAGCCATGACCATTCCTCCAAAGTAAGAAAATATCCCGATAAAGACAATATAAATGTCTTTGAGACATTTAGAAAATAAGTAAACACCAAAAAAACTGGTCAGAGAGATAGAAGTGGAGGCAGCTGCTCCATATCCAATGTATACTTCATCCCAGCAGAGGGGCTCATCTAGTTCATAGAGTGTAAAAAGTGAACTCCCACCGGTCGCAGTAAACAAGTACATCATAAATGTAAAAAGCAACACAATTATTAAAATTCTCTTCTTATAAGGGGCAGTTTTAAAAAGCATGTACACTCCAGAAAATGTCTCTTTAAGAATTTCTTTACAGGATCCTGGTGCCTCACGCTGGAATTCAGATACATCTACTGTTTCTTCCAGAAAAAATATAATACAGATAATATTAACAGCATGAAGCAGAGATGCTGTCGCAAATGTCCATGTAAAGCCTATTCCTCTTAGAATATAACCAGATGACAGTCCTGCCAATCCAGACACAATTCCAAAAATCAAATCCACCACAGCTATTCGTGTTGTTTTCTGCTTCTCATCCTGACACACATCTGCTATATAAGCAAAGCCTCCTCCAAGGAAAGTTGCTATACTCCCAAACAGCCCACTAATAAACGCAACCGCAAATAGGATAGAGAGTGACAAGGAAAAATATGATATTACAGCGAGACAAATATTAGCAACCAAAGTTCCCACTGATGGTAAAACTAAAGACCTTTTGCGTCCCTGGTGATCCCCATTAGCTACAATGACAAAGGCAACTATAAGGCTCGGAACTGCTCCAGTTAAGTCTAACAGCATATTAAAAACAGAGGCTTTTTCTTGAACTACCTGAAAAGAGAAAACAAAAATCATTGTAAATACTATAATGCATTGGAAAAAAAAATAAATCATATAATCTATAATAATATTAGACTTGCATTATGATTAGCACAGAATATAATGAATAGCACAGTACATGTTTATAGATTATAAATTATGTTATTATAAAACAGAATACATACAATATAATTTTTTAAGATTATGTGACATATTATCCTGTTATAAAATACAGTACATTATGTTTATGAGAATGCATATTACAGTAATTGTTAAAACAAGGGAATTGCATATTCAAAGACTCCTGCTTTTGTACTTTTACCTTCAATATTCCTCAAACATCCCTTGTCACATTTTAAGCCAGAACTTGCTTCTTAAGATACAGATTTACTCATACATTTGACAGAGAAGTTTCAATGGAGGCAAGACAACAATTCTTTTGAATGTGCATTTACAAGAGCACTAACAGTGCTGGTGCTTACACGGTAAGAATCTCCTTCAGTACAAGGTATGGCAAAAGAGCAATGTGTCTATTTTAATCCCTTGGAAATTGGTTGTAAAACAGATTTTGATTAGGGAACACACCCCATGCTCCCTACTCACAGGAGATCATTTTTCCTCCAAAATAATTGTACTGAGAGAGGTTACAAGAAAAAATCCACTGACTAGCACATTGTGCAAGTAAACAGATCAGCAATTGCTGTGACATCCCAGTGTACAACGTTAATAACAACAGCTACAAATGTGAAACACAGCATTAAAAATTATACTGACTCACAGATATGTAAGTTAAGTATTCTTTAAAACACTGGAAAGCTCTGGGTTCAGAAACTGTCCAGATCAATGTTGTCTCTATAGATATGCTAAGTTGGTATTCAAATAAGGAATAGCAGCTAATACTATGAAAATAAACTGTAAACATCCATTATGGGAAAAAATTATTTTTAACAGAAGTATAAAAATCAAACGTAGCTGAAAAACAATCAGTTAAGGGAACAGGGATGGCTGCAGAAAAAAGAACTAAAGAAAAGATTATAATAATAAAAAAAACCACTATCTTGTTATGAAGCCAGCTCAGCAGGCCAATTCTGATCTTGCCTTCAATGCATGAACGCAGGCTAGACAGAGCCATGACAGCCTTCTCAGAGACAACCACCTGATCAGACAGAAGAGTAGCAGGGGAAAAGGTAGTAACTTCATTCACACAAACCCTTTACTCTCTGTAAGATAAACTTAGATGCAGAGAGTAAAGTCACTCTGAAAGTTTTCCTCCAGTTTTCTGAGGTATCCCACTGACTTGGGCAGGAGTTGCACTCATCAGTCCACAGCAGGTACAGCAATCTAAGTCTTCCCAAGTCATTCTCAGCCTGTATTCAAGCCATCTACATGCCACACTTCAGGTGTTTCCTCTGCAGCAAACATAATCCTCACTGAGTAGCATTTAAAAGATGGAAAACCCCTAGAATTTCCAGGAATGTACTTTGGGCAATTTTAAAAGCTGCTGAATGCTTTATATATTCTTATTTATAATTTAAGGGCAAAGACCACGAGTTTCTTGTTAAACCTCTTCCTTTGTTGACAGGATACAAGTTTTATTGTAAGATAAAAATTCAATTGATAGAAGGGCCCTCAAGGAAAGCACTCAAGATCCCCAGCATTCTGGAGTCTTTTACTCTCTTCATGGTATCTGACTACCTTAGGACTTTGTGATAGATTCGTCTACTAGCCAGCACTGTTGTCACCCTGAAAGCGTCAAAACCATAAAGACTGAACAAACCAAGATGTAAAATGCTATTCTGATCTTTTAACTGCTCTCCTGCTGACAAGATCACTTGATGTAGTTACAGGTATTGCTTCTTTACTAGGATCATCATGTTCAAAGACATGAGTGTCAAACAAATGCTAATATATTAGAAATAAAACTAAATCTTATGTATCATCTTAACCATACAATACAAGTATTACTGCCAAACCATAATGAAGTGCAAAACTGAAGGAACAAAGCAGCAAAGACTTGGGTTTCATTATTTTGGAAGTAGTTGCGCAACATAAGGAACATGACTACACACCCAGATACAGCGAATGACCATAAAATTGCTGACAAAAATTTGTCTACTGACAAGAAGACTAAAAGACAGAAGTACAGGAAAACTCCATTTAGAGTGTAAGGCACTCAATTGTCTACTTTATTTTTTTATGAAGTCAATGGAAAGAAATATAGAAAATGATAGGTCAAAACTTCAGCTTCTTTAAAATCATGTAATTTAATTTAATAATCAGTGGAACTACATAAATTTGACGAGAAATGTCTAGGGATTTTTAATCTACAAATGCACTGTTCTTTGAAAAAAAGTTGTACTCATGGTAAACAGAAATATTTCTTAAAATCACAGATTTCAAAATGTAAAGTATGAAAATGAATAAGCAATTTGCTTGTATAAAGATTATATTAAGAGAGAAGTGTAGCGCCTAAGGCTGAACAATGTACAGGACACGATAAATTAACAGGCCCATAAAATTAAAAATGCATGGATTGGATCATAAATAAGATGGATGACAAATAATGTTTAATGACATAGCTCTTTCTCAGCTAATAAAAGAAAACCAATATAGTTATCTAAGCCAGTGATTAAACTGCTTCAACTTGCATTCAAATTACTTTTGAACTCATTTTATTGTAAAATGACTAATTTCCTTCATATTGTAGGAAATAATTAATCTAAATGCTGCGAAGACTATCCTTTTTTGAATTATATTCTACTTTCTTGCAGGCTCCAAGTGATTTTTATCTTCATTTTCCTTTTACATTTTACTTTGAAATAGGTGAAATTCATATAAAGCTTCTCCATTCTCAGAACGGAAGGATTTATACTAAATCGTCTAGGGAGGTGTTCTTCAAAATGTTAATGCCAAACAGGGCCTGTTCCTGTTGGGAACACTCCTGACAGCAAAATTTACAACATCCATAAACATAAATTAGTTAGGATGGTCTTGGAAAATCCAGAACACATACTTCATATATTCTCAGGAAACGGGTTGGGGTTGAGTTACCGAATCTACTCTTTGACCCAGGAGTCAAAGAGTCTTTTACACAGGAGTAATTACTCAGCACAGAGATGAGGTTCCACTGAAATGAATGGGGATTTTGACTGGTTTATATTCTTATACTATGCAACTAGTGTGGTATCAAAATGCAGGCAAGACATCCAGACAAGAGTGTACTTGTTCAAAGGCTCACGCACTGCTGGCAATCATTGAAATAGAGGGAATCAAAATTTGGCAGGAAAGGGAAATGAAGAGGTTCTATTGGCCATTATTCAACTGCTGTCTTGAAAGTGTTGTGTTAAATACCAAGCTAATTATACTTTGTAACCTTTATCCCCCAAAACCTGCAATGTGTGAATTCACTACTATATTACACAGAGACGCTACCTAAACTTCAGCTGAAATTAAGTACTCTGCTTCAGTGTTTTGCCAAAGAAATATGAAAGTCTTATATTCTGAACCGTAAGTGGTAACAATTTGAAAATCAGGTTGAATTTGGGAGGTTTCTGGCAAGTGCAAAGTGCAGAAATGTCTGTGAAATGTAGGTTTCTTGATGGGCTCTGTGATTAGAACTGTATGCACCACCTGTGGTTTTCTTAGAGCTGCTCCTTCCACATGACAAAATGCCCACCGACAACACCAAAAGCGGAGCCAATACTAAAGTAAACACTTTTTGGAAGTAATGTGCAAGCATTTCTCAGACAATAATGGCTATTATCTCCGAATCAGTTCCAGTGGGTTGCATATGGCTGATTGGTCAGCTGAGGAAAGAGTGCTGGACTACAATTCTATTGACTTTTTCCCTTGCACATTCTTTCACTAAGGCTGGCTTCTGTCACATAAGGAAGAACCTACTCCATGTTAAAAATCCTGAATGATTTCTTTGAACACCTTCAGTCATTAAAAACATTTGTTTACATATTATAAACAGGACAGATAAGCTCAGGTGCTCAGTCTTGTGCATATGTAGCACATCAGATTCAATTCTGAGATGTGAGCAAAAATTTTTAAGTGCCACCTTTTCAGCAGCACAGGGGAATGACGGTGACTGTTTCCATAACTCCATCTTCTGAGCAATTTACAGTCTGAGCCATCTACTTTTCTGACCCTACTGTGGTTTCGTGTTCCACTTAATCCAATCTGACTGCCACTTGTTGCCAAGGATGGTTTCTGTTGCACCTCTTCTGGAAATGTGTTTCCTCTGCCATCCCCTGTTAGAAACAGCAACCATGTGGCCACACAGTTTGTCAGAGCAGTGGCTGCTTCAGAAAAAAAGCAAAGCTCAAAAGGCAACAAACTCAAAAAAAAACCACCAAACCCGAGTGATGAGCTTTCTGTTGGGTCAGTGCCCCAGTTAAATCCAAATCATAACCAGTAACTGCAGAACTGCAATATACAACACATGGGGGGGGATAACGGTGGAAAAGGGGAAAGGAAAAATCACATATGATCATCTCTTCTGCTGGCTGTCCATAGTTGGCACTGCTGAAATATAGCATTAAAACTGTACTGAAAGTGCAACGGAGGAGATTCCAACCAACAGTTAGCTATCCAGCATGCTGAACCCTATGAAAAAGTGCTAAAAATGTAATTGACCATGCAGTGCCGTCACCTAGATGTCTTTGCACTCCAACAAGCCAGGCTAGCGTTCTGAATGGTAAACCACCAATTGCATTTGATTATCCAAAGATCAGTTAAAATTTTTTACACATTTTAAAATTACATTTAAAAAAAAAAAAAAAATCTGAATCTCTCCTTTTCCTCATCCTTGTAAATCATCTGAAATAAATATGTTCTAAACCAGATCTCATTCCTGAAAATTACAGGGCATTTGCTAAACTTTACATAGTCACAAAGAATGTAGAAGTCACAAAAGACTGACGGATCATGAACACATGCACAGGTGTTAACTGGAAGGTGGACCCCTCAGCTGTACCCACAGTAATACCAGCACAATGCCAGTTTGGGCCCAGACCTCCCAGATGATTTTCACTTCCTACAAATTTATCTCGGTATCTGTCTGGAGACAAATTATTGCCTTTAAATCACTCAGCTACCTACAGTGCAATACAAGAACAATGAGACAGTAGTGACAGCGGGTTACAAAACCACTGCTTTCTTTTCTGTATATAAAAGGCTAAGTAAAACAATATAAAAGGAGGTGACTGAGACAGCACGTCCTGACTGTAAGTTTATTTACAATTGTTACTTATTTTCCCCCTCTTACCTTCTGCTTGATATAAGCCGGGCTACTTTTATTCTGCTCGCAGTGGCTGATGCTGCTATTGCTTACAAAAGTGGAATTGTACTCTTCCTCCCAGAGCTGCCGGTAAATGAATTGCTGCACCAGTGGGCTCGTCAGGGAAGAGGCAAACACATAGATGAAAATGACAGGCTCCACAAACAAAACCTTCCTCATTTCTGGGCCTGGTGTTTAATCCTTTGTATCAGAAAACAAAACGCAATTATTCTCAGGACGTGTAAGCACACCCGACCCGCCTGCACGCTGCGCTGACAGCCTCTACCCGACCGGAGACCCCATCAACGAGACCCCTCCACAGCGTACCTGACCGGCACCGGCACTGCTCTCCCGCCCCCCGCACCACACTGGCGCCGGGCGGAGATCACGCAGTGCCGGCGGTGCGTGACACCGAGAGGCGGGACGACGATGGCAGCCGCGTCCCTCAGCGGAGGAGTGTCCCCAGTGTCCCCCGCGCCCTGTCACCGCCCCCCGCGGCCGCCGAGAGGACGAAGCCGGGTATCACCATCTCGCTCCGGTGCCCTTTAGCCCCGTGCGGCCTGCGGGCCGGGCGCTGCTGCGGGCGGGCCTCGGCGGGCCGCGGAGGGAAGCCCCGGCCTGGGGTCGGCCCCGGGGCAGCCCTCACCCGAGGGGAGGAGGAGGCTGTTTGTACCCGTGCTAGGAGGCGTGGGGCTGCTGCTGGAAGTCGCGCCGGCTCAGCAGTTCGGTGATGTCAGCCCCGAGCAGCGGCGTGCCAGGCACGGCTGCCGCGCAGTGTTTACCGCTCCACAGAGTTTGTTTGAGCCACTTACGCAACGAGGATCCTTCTTATCTGCAGCCCTGTGCCCTCATTTCACGCCGCGCTGGCGAGACCGGTGCTGCCTCATCTGCTGCCCGCTGCTCGGCTTGGCCCGGTGGGGTCAGCCGCCCGGGGCACGGGAGCACTCAGCCCAAGGGATGGGAGCAGCCTGCCTGGGGGCCAACGCGGCCCTCTTCTGGTTAAGGAGGAAGCTGTGGGCTGCGTCAGCTCCATGCTACCGTGTTTGCTTGCTCTCACCTGACATGATTTAGAGGATTTATTGTAGATACTCCCTTTTCACATGCTCGCCTCTTTTGGGGCTGTGTATAAGCAACATTTGTTAGCTTCCAGCTGGACTCTGGTGACTACATCTCATTCTCTCTGAGCCTGACTTTGTGTGTCGGGAGAAGTATGGTAGCACTTCTTCACAAAGCACATGCTTTGGCTCTGCAGGAAAGGTCATGCTGGTGCAGATCCGCAGTCATATGATATCTGTCAGCCTTGATGGAGGGAGCACACCTTGGCACTGGAGCTGTAAAGCTTTAGGATGTATTTTGCTGTACAAACTACAGAAGCCTTGTCAGCTCACTGATGGTGGCTGCTTGTTGGGTTACAGATAGTGGTTTCTCTCTGCTTTGGGGTGGGGTGCTCACAGTACCCTGCTCTCTTTGGCACGCTGTTATCTTAAGACACTGAGTAGTGATTCTGGCCTCTGCAGGTGTGGTACAATAAGAGGTGACATAGTTGGAGAGTCCCAAAGGACCTCTCAGTCTTAAATACTGTTTTTCAATTCTAAATCTTGCAAAAAATCGTATTTGCTAGAAAGACATCGAAACTTAGAGGTTCCCAGATATTTATTTTTCTCTTAAAACAAGAAGTGCAGTTTAATAACTTCATGAATATTCAGTTCCTTCATAAAGTGATTTGAAGCCAGGTTAACTGTAACATGGGTCATATGATCTTTAGTAAAGCTTTAATTTGTTTCACTGTCATGTGACATGACATTCAGCCCCAAACTTAGGGACAACACTGGCCTGTCGTGTGTCTTTTAACATAGGATTGACCCAATGTACAAGCTAAATGGCCTTGATAATTTACTCTAGATGGTGAGCTGGTTTGGTCTGGCATGTAGGCCTGCTCACAGAGACACACAGAGAGTGATTCAAAAAAAAGCTCCATTCTGCCCTGAGATCAGCTGTAGAGTATTGTCCTCCTCGACCTATTCAGGTCCAAAGTCTGATTCACCTTGTGACAATATTTTGTCTGTCACAAGGTAAAGCAAAAGTGGTCATGTGAGTATTGCACACACAAATGGGCTGCTAGACAAGCAGGGCAGTTCAGGTCACTCAGCCAGCTGTTAGCATTTATTTGGTTGTGGTGAAGAAAGCACTTTAAGCCTGTGAGAACTTTCTGTTGTTCCACAGAGGGTTATTGTCCAGAACACCATTAGGTTTCCTGCTAGATCCAGCTGTTCTGAAGAGCACATTGCTCGTGAACACAGGCCTCTGAGTACAGCCTAGGTTGCTGGGCAAAACTTGTTTTAGCTGCTAGTGGCTTCAGAACAGCCTTCACAGTGCCAGCAGAGCTCTGGCTCTGTGCTCTGGGGAGTGGGGTCCTCTGGTTCTGTCCTTCCTACCTCCAGTAACTGTGTTTATGCTTGGGTTTGCAGACCCAAGTTGCTCCAGAAAAGTTGTGGCCTTACCAATGCTGAAGGCAAGCTGCAGCACGAGCTCTAAGCAGCTGATTGTCCAACAGCTTGGAGCCTGCTTATGAGTATCTTCGAGTGCTGATATGCACCCCCCATGCAGGTGCACTGGAACAGACTTGGCCCTTGTTCTCAGTCCGCCCCTACAAGGGGAACTAAAAGCAATAGATGTGACTGAAATTTGAAGATCTGACTTAGCTGGGTGATGCTTATCCTTTAAAGCAGAGCATTTCCAAGTTACAGAATACATGGCAAACTATCTATCCCTATCACCAATATTCACATTGTCCCAAATCTGAGTTACATGCTGGTGAACAGACTTCACAAAGGTCACAGACATGTGGTGGCTTCAGCTTTGCAGTTTGCCATATTTATTAACATCCTCAGTGTGTGAAGAATTGAAGAAGTGAATGTATTCATTGTAGAGGTCAAGCTTTTGGTGAGCACTTGCTAAACTTCCAATCAAAAAAATCTTAAAACCCAAACAGATTACTGGTTTTTGAAGGTGATACGTTGCTTATGTGTCAGGACATGGCGAAAGGAGACATAGAATGAAGTTTGAAGTCTGGAACATTAGAAGGCTTTTGAGAGATCCCACCAGCCCTGGTCAAAAGGCAAAGACATCACATTACATTACCTTCAGTGATAGAAATCTTCAGAAAAAACCTCCCACACTTCCAAGTGGTACACTTGGCATTCAGTGATTGCTTATTGCATTCTCAGAGAACTTTGTTGTTGAAAAAAAAAATCAATTTTAAATTTCTTATATATGTATATAAATACAAACACCACCCTGGAAATCATTAATACTAAAAACATTTTCTCTAGGAAATTATTTTGATGAAGAAGAAGTTGGAGACATTTTGGAGATCTGGATATTCATATCTCTTTGCTGAAAAAGTAACATATATATATAATATAAATAGTATTATCATGTAAACCATGATTTTAACTGCCTGCTAAGAAGTTAAGTACTTTTTAAAATTGAGATGACTTTAATTTTCCAAGTTAGTAATCTACTGAGATAATGGAAATACTTAGCCCTCTACAAGTTATTTGTGCATTACAGCATAACATCAGGAAGTGCCATATCTACTGATATTCAACTCATGTTTTCAAGGCTATCTTGATAACAGTGGTTAACACAAAAAAAGAAACCTGAAGAGGGAAGAGAGAAGCACACTTTCTGCAGAGAGCTGATTTTGTACAAAATGCAGTTCTGCAGAAATCTTGTGTACCCAGAATCTTGCCCATGAGCATGGCGAATGGAGATACATGAAGGAAGTTCTCCAAATGGTACTGTGGGGAAAGGGAAAAAGGGATAAACTGTGTAATTCCTCAGGGGCATGCCTGGGTTTAGATGCAACTGTTTGGTTTGTTTTTATTATAGCTGAGTTGATTGCTGAAGCTTGGATGCAAACCCTGACAACAGACAGTAGTAATGAAGATTTAAATATGAGACTGAAAGAAAAAGTTATTAAGGAAAATTTGTGCAACAAATCCCACCACAGTTTTAAATGCCTCTCCTTTGTAAAAGAGCCAAGGAGAGTGTTAACCATCATCCAACCCAGAGGAAATCTGTGCAGGGTTCGTATCACTAATTTCCATTCACTGCAGATTATCACTGATTTTCAGGGCCTAAAATGGCATCTGTGATCTTTGACTATGTACACAGCTAAAGGCACCTGCCTCAGCAAGTGGTGGCTGACCTGCAGCCCAAGTAACTCAGAGAGGCTCACACCTTCACCAATGTGCCCTCTGGCTGGCCCCATCCAAGCTGCATAGCATTTGCTCTCTAGCTTCACAGGGTAACTGAAAGACACAGATAATCATAAATAATAACGTTTTTTGGGTTTGCAGTCCTGAATATTTAAAACAATGTGACTGAGTTCAGCTCGTACGGAAGAAGGTGTTTGAAAGGTATTGGCAGGGGCAACCACCAATCCAGTGTAGCTGAATATGGAGTGTTGTTTTGAACCACTATCAGCATGAGCAGAATTGCTGACTGTATTCTCCATGTCATGTGGTACTTATTACTGTTAAGTGCTGTGCTGAAAATTTATGCTTGTATGAGACCTCAGACACGTTAAGGCATCAGGATATATTTATTTTCTCTGAATTAGATAAACTTAACAGAACCAATGCTCTTGCTGGCCTCTCTTGCAGGCCACATGACAACAGGTATTTCCAAATGGTGTGGTTTATTCTGTATTTTTTCTTTTCAGTTATTTCCCTCTCATACACATGTATTTGCAAGTCCCCATTGCTCATCTCCAATTGTTTTAAATCTCAGACTTAGACATTTCTGTTGAATGCCCTTCATCTTGTGAGTTTTCTGCCTAGATGATTCAGTGGAGGAGAATTTTACAGCTCCCTTCACACTGGGTTCAGGTGCAGCTTATTCAGGCAGCTTGTTGCAGTTTTGTCCAGTTCAAAATAAAGCAACCAGGAGTTGTTAGACCTGCTGTGGCTGGCTTTCAGGGTTCTTGACGACTTGAAATTAATTTTATCAGCAGCTTAGTTCTTGTTTTTTTCTTCCTGTTTTGCTTTCATTTACATTTGTGTACTAGACATGATGATAGTTTTTCACTGTTGATAGGTGATGAGTCTGACTGCATTGCTTTAAGACAGAATTTCTACTGAGCTGTTTTACAACTCCAATTTAGCACCTTAGTCTCACTTTGCAAAGCTGCTTTGAAACATATCTACTGGTAATGCTGTCCTGCCTGTTGCTCTCTGCCCTCTCCCTGCAAAGCTGCTTATTGGGTGGGGATGACTAGCAGCGGGCTGGAGATATCCCTAGTTACCATGAGTCAGCAAAGTGCTCGTCTTTCTGGTCTGTATTACACTTCACCCATTTGCAGTAGACAAAGGCAGCTCTGCATAGAAGAATCTTTTAATCTGAAACATTAGGATTATTTCCTTTTCCTAATGTTTTTATTTTATGTAAACAACTCCTTAAAATGAGGAACTGAAAGTAAGCAGCTGAGACAGGGCTGGGGTGGCTGCGTCTGAGTCACATGTTGTTCTATTGCAGGAGGCTGTTAAAGTTTTGTCCTTAAAGTTTTGCTGAAGAAAAGTGCTTTTCACTCCTAGTAAGTTGGTGGACTGGCCACATTCCTTTTTCAGATATAAGGACTTCTCATCTACCAT